GAGGGCACACGGATCCCTGGAGGACTCTGAACCAGGCCTGCCCTGCCTGGAGCCATTTTCTGGCCGCACAGACCCTACTGGGCAGGCAGACAGGAGGATGCAGCACTGCCGCCCATGGGGCAGCAACGGCCAGCGGGCCACAGGGGGACAGAGGTCAGAGGGGAGGATGACGAGAAGGAGCCGAGGCCTCCCCTCGGCCCACCCTGCTCACGCTCACTGGGTCCAGAGGTCTGTGCCCAATTCCCCGGGCCCCTGCGTGTGACCACCAGGAGGGCTGCCAGAAGTGACGACCACAAGTCTCGTCCACATCACACCTCTCAGAGCACAGCGCAGGTGCCAGGAGCAGTGCTGGGACCCTGCTCTAGTCTGAACGTGGCCCTCGGCCCTCGGCAGCACTGGCAGGAAGACCAGGAAGTCTCAGGTGCCCCACCCTGGCTTCTGAGCCCCTGGGCCGACTTCGGGATAGCCTGTGAAACGCAGACCCTGGCCTCCCCCAGCCCTTCTGTGCCCAGATCTGGAGCAGCGGCCTGGCTTCCGCTGTCGGGGACAGCCCTGCCTGGTGCCCCGCTCAGGGCCCTGGCTCGTGGTGACTGAAATCCCTCTACAGGTCACAACCAGGTCGCTGAAACAGCCAGCGTCCTCTGTCCACACCACCAGCACGCCTGGCAAGGAGGGAACTCCCCAGGGCCGAGAGCAGAGTCGCTGCCGCAAAGTCGGCTGGGTGTGGGGAGTCGGCCCCGCGTGGGAAGAGGAGGCAGCGCCTGGAACCAGGCTAGCAAAACCGGGTGAGCCACGTGCACACAGAGCCGGCCTCCGGGGAAGGCTGGACTCAAACAATGCACACCCGTGCTCCGGCACAGGCAGGAACGAGAGGAAACTGTGTGTCTTGGCCGGTTTCCTGGAATGTGGAACCCGGAGTCTCCTCCGGCTGCGTGCGACTCAGGCACGCTCCCACCGCGGCTGTGGCTCTCGAGAACCCAGCCCCACCTGTAAGTGAAGACCCCAGAAGTCCTGTGTGGGTTCACCGGGTCACCGCAGCTTCCCTGGAGGAAGTCAGCCTCCGACTGGACACAGCTCAGGCAACCGCACCGACCAGCTCACAACCGCCACTTACAAATGCACAAGGAAAATGGCCACCACGATCCAGTCAGGGGGAGAATCAGCCTCTGTGAGAGCTGCAGACGTGCAACTCAGGACACAGGCCGCAGACCACGCACGTCAGCGGCTGCGAAGGCAAAGTCACAACGCGGAGGGACCAAGGCACAGGATGCTGCCCAGGCACAGAACGGAACACACACGTTACCGAGAGCAGAGCGCCCCTGGGGCATCAGGCACCCCCGAGGAGCTGCAGACTGGCCAGGGGACCGCCCCCTGGAGGGTCACCACCCGCAGCAGAATGATCGCGACCGCCCCCTCCGCCCACGCCGACCTCAGGAGCCAGCAGTCGGCGGGCTCCATCTGCACATCAACCTCTAAGCACCCCCACCAGAGGTCCTCCCCCGAGAGCTAGTGCAGAGCGGTAACAGCAGCAGGGACAGACACGAGGCTGCACCCCGGCACCTCCCCGGGGAATGAAGTGATGCCCACGTGCGGCGCAGACAATGCAGCCGGGAGCCCAGGTGGGTGACCAGAACAGGAACAGCGGATTCAGGGGGCCATTCGAGCCGCAGGAGCTGAACACCAGGCACGGGGGACTGGGGACTGGGAACAGCCTACGGACCCAGGGGCCGGGGCCAGCGAGGCTGAGAGGCGTCTGCACCCTGCCGAGCGTTCAGCACGGACGCCTGAGGGAGCCGCCCAGACACAGGCTCGGGAGTGCAGGTCACGGCCCCGGTGCTCGCACCTGCGCACTGGAATTAAACGGCCCCTCACTCGCCCAGTGCCCCGAGCACCTCGAACTCCGCCTTGCCCTTCCAGGCATACAGATCCTATCCCCACTCATCGCTGGCTTCCTTCTTCCCCTTCGGCCCATGAGTGGTCCTGTGGTCCCTGACCCCTTCCGTACCAGCCCTGCGGAGGGCACACAGGGCCCAAAGCTGACCCACAGCTGCTGCTAGACGGGGCCTCCCCGCTGACGTCCGAGCTCCGTGCACTTCCTGATCGGCAGCAGCCACAAGCCCCCAGTCACGCTCTCGAGAACCAAGGCAGCGCCAGCACGTGTCGGGAGCCCACGCGGCTTCACCGAGCTGGTGGCACCGACGCCACATTCCCAGCCGCCCCCGCTGCTCCCGCTCACAGCGGCTCTGCCGGGGCTGGCCTGAGCCCCTCCCGTCCTGCCTCACCGTCCTGCTCCCTTGGCGGCAAGCGGCCCTCTCCCCGTGCCTGCCCCACACAGAGCAGCCCCAGGGCAGACGTCTTCACCACTGACCAGCACAGCGGGAGGCTGGGCGGGGGCACTTCCCCACGAGTGACTTTCCAATACGCCTCTGTGACCCCTTCCCAGCAAGGCGGTGCTGGGCATCATGGCAGTTTAGGAGATGCACGGACCCCAAGGTGAGGGTGGCCAGCTCTGCCAGGGTCACCTGGGCCTGCAGGTCTTGGGACAGAAGTCCAGGACACTGCGGAGGTGGAAGGGAAGTGACGAGTGGTGACTTTCCCAGCCTGAGACCCAGGCCAGCCTCTCCCCTGCCCAGCGTCTCCAGAGGCACCCCTTGCGAGGAGGCCTCTACCAGCTGCAGGGGAACCTCCCCCAGCCTCCCGGGAACTAGTGCCACCTCCACCTCGAGCAGCCACGTGGGGCTCAGTGCCCGGAACGGGGCTCGTGGGGCCTTGGCTCGGGAGGGCCAGCAGGAAGCTCGGAGCAGCCTGCGGGGAGAAGAGCTGGGCGAGCCGGTCACATGGGAGGCAGGACAGGGGCCGGGCAGGGCCAGGCACTGTGGGCACCTGGGAGCTGGGGATGCTGTCTCAGGCCGAGGAAACAGGCAGAGCCCGCGAGGCAGGCTGGGCAGGGCGGCTCCGCCCCAGGCCTCCTCTCGCCTACAGCCGGCACGGCTGACGCCCACCTGGCCCTTTGGGCAGGAGGCTGACCGGGTACCTGATGTGCTCAGCACAGTGGTCCTTGGGATCCTGTGGGCAGCAGCCAGGCCCCAGCATCACGAGCCCTGGCCTAGGTGTGGGCAGCGGCCGCCCGGTCCTCACTCCGCTTCCTCCGTGGCAGGGCTGGGACCCCGGTCCCTCCCTGGTGCTGGGAAGCCTCGAAGTGCAGCCTCCCAAGCGGGCCTGCCTGGTCCCCACCACGCTCCTGCTGTTGATGGCTAACACTGGCCCACCTCCTGCCCCAGGTCAGAAGGTCACAGGTGCAGCCCCTCTGTAGGCTTTCTCGGCAAGGACCACGCCCCTGTGGGTCTGGATCCTGACGACCCCACCCCTCCCCAGCCTGCCCTGCCTGCCGGCACACCTGTGTGTCCTTGGGAGCGCACGGCTGTCCCTGGGCAGTCTCCACTGGGCCACGTGAGGGGAAGCACAGGTAGGTGGCAGGTGCAGGCGGGCACCCTGCTCCAGAAGCCTGGTGCCCGGGGCCCAGGGTCCAAACCCTGGCCTGGCTTTGCGGTGCAGCCTGGGCAGGAGCAGGGGCTGGGCAGCTTTCCTGGTGATGGCAGTGCGCCAGGGCTCTGTGAGAGCCTCCTGGTCAGAGGGCCCAGGAGTGTCAGGTGAGCCGGGGGAAAAGCTGCAGGAGGGCAGGTGGGCCGCGCGTCCCATCTGGGACCTCACAACGACTTCACAGCATAGGCCAGGCTGCATGGACAGCCTCGCCCGGCGTCCTGCCTTCAGCCAGGGGCCAGCTCTGGCCACACCCATGCTGCCCATGAGCATTTGTGGGTGGCGCCCATCTGTATGGCGGGACCATGGCAGCAGCCTGCGTGCACCGTGTGCCCTTTGTGCCTGCACCAGTGGGCAGGCGGGAGTGCACGCCCGGGGCTCATCAGGATGCCACAGGGTCCCTGGGCCGGGGGATACGGAGGGGCCTTGGTGGGAACGACTTGGAAACGCGCGCGGTTCTCTCTCATACACGTCGTCCCGTGAGCTTTCGGAAGCCCCCCACGCGGCGTGGACTCCTCACTTTTCGTTCCACTTTTCCACCAGCCAGCCCAGCAGGCACCCTCACATTTCTGACCGAGGTCGGTGGGCTCCACAGCACAGAATTCCCCCCATGGCTGCCTAGCAGCACAGAGCAAGGGTGGGAGAGGTGTGGCCGTCCCAAGCATCCTACACTGGCCTGGGGGAGGACAAGGCAGGACCACTCAGCTTTGGTTTTCAGAGAGCTTCTAGACGATCCGGCCTGCTGGACCACTGACACCCACAGGTGGACACTGAACTTGACAGAGAGAAGTCTCCTCTCCCGGGGCCCCCTGGGGTCCCTTCCACCATGGCCTGCCTTCGCTGACTCTGCAGCCTGTGGCTACAGTCAGGGAGCGCGGGGCCCCCAGACCTTCACAGGCTGCCAGCTGTCCCCTACCCACAGAACGTTCCACAAGGTGGGGCTGTCACAGGCGCGCAGAGGCAGGGAACACAAGGCTGAGCCCTCCGGGAGGGGCCCCTGGGCTGCCCTCCTCCCTGTGGCGGGGCAGGGGGAGAGGCGCGTGGCAGGCCACGTTCCCACTGCATGGCTGCAGCACATGCTTGCTACCCCCGGGCCTCCCTCCGGGTCTGCTCAGGCAGAGCCTTGCTTGGCAGGGGCATGGTGCCTGCACCAGGCCAGCCAGAGCTTGGTGACAGGGCCTTCAGAGCTCCTGGGCCTCCCTGGCAGTGGGCAAGGCCCAGGAGGTCACCCCCGCACAGGACACAGGCTCTGCGAGGCAGAGGCAGACCGAGACCGCCGCCGTCCCTCACCCCCGCCTGCTGAGCGAGCCGCCTGGGCCCTGCACGCACAGATCTGGGCCTCAGAGAGACCTCAGGGGCTTGCTCAGGCTCCCTAAACGGCAGTGAGCTTGTGAGTCCCGGGGGCCAGCGGGAGGCTCCAGGCCCCGCCCAGCCCACACCGCCAGCGTGACGCTTCTCACCAGAACCGTCGTGGCTGTCCACAGGGAAGTGGTCTGGCCGCCGCTCCTCCGGGGGCTCGCATGTGATCTGGGGGACCGGGAGCGTCTTCTCGCCAGGACTCACACCGTTGTCCTTGTCAAGTTTGAACTTTTTCTTCTTGACCTAAAGATCCCAGACCACAGGAACAGGCATTCACCCCACCTGTGTCCCGGAGCCGGGACTGGGTTCCGAGCACCGGCTCCTGGGGCCAGCTCCCTGCTAACGCACACCCTGGGAGGCAACGGGTGGCGGCTCAAGTGGCTGGGTCCCTGCCACACTCATGGGAGACCTGCATTGCATTCTGGGCGCTCGGGGAGTGAACCAGCAGAGAGGAGTCCTGGTTCTCACTCTAATAACTAACAAGACAGAAACAAAGAACTTAGAAAACTTTGAAGCAGCAGCAGCAGCAGCAGCCGCCAGCAGAATGGCTACTCCAGGGCCTGGCCCGCCGGGCCCTCCGTGGCAGCCTTGGGCACCGCCCCTGCAGCCCAGGGCTGGGCTCCGGCCCTTCCCAGGCACGGGCTCGGCTGCGGTGTGCCGGTGCTGTCCCTCTGCACTGGGGTACCCCAGGGGCTCCAGAAGGGGACAACGGCCCAACGCTGCCTCAGGGCAGGTGGCAAGGAGGGCTGCGCCCAGCACAGCGTCAGAGCCTGGGCCAGGGCTGGGCAGGAGGAAGCGCAGCAGCAGGCTGTGTGGACATCTGGGTGAGAACATGCAGGCAGAGGGGCAGTGGCAGCGAAAACAGGGAAGGCCAGGCCTCCAAGGAGGTGCAGGCGCAGCCAGGACGGAGAGCGAGGCCAGGGTCAGCCCAGCGCCTCACGCACGCTCCCCTGCCAGTCTCACTGCCACCCAGCACCTGCTCGACGCCCCAGGCCTGTGCCGGAGCCCACGGCCAGCCCCACCCCACGCCCTGCCCTGCCCAACCTGGAAAGCCCAGGGCCTCCTCCCCAGCAGCTGGCACCCAATCAGCCAAGCTGCCCTCAGGACCTCCCAGACCTGACGTGGCCACAAGACCGGGGGCAGTGGGACGGCTGGGGCCAAGTGCCAGGCACGCACCTCCGGAACCCAGAACGCTGCGGGTACCCCGTGTGAGGGGCTGGGCCGCCCCGAAACCCCTGCCAGCGCCCCTCCCACCTGCCAGGGGAAGTTACCATGGCGGACTTCTTGGGCTTGGGGCTGGGGGACAGCAGGGCGTGGCCCCGGGTGGGCTTCCGGATATAGATCTTCCACGTGGCTGAGTCGGGGTTCTCGGCGGCGTAGCACCTCCATGCCGTCTGCGGGTGGGCAGAAAGCGGCTGTCGGCAGAGCCGCCCTCCCCACTCGGTCCCCCGGCTGCAGGCCTAGCTCCCACCTGCCGGTCAACCCAGGGAGCTCAGCATGGCCAGCCTGGGATGTGGGCCCCCAGCCAGTCCCTGCTCCTAGGCTGTCTGCCGTGGCTGTGGGCACTGCCTCACCACCAACTGGCCCATGCATCCCGGAAACCTCACCAGCCCCAGCCCCTCTGCTCCACTTCTGCACACCAGGCCCCTCCACAGACGCCCCGAGTCAAGCCCTGGATGCATAGGTGGGACCCGTGTGCTCAGCAACTGGGTCCACAAGGCAAGGGGCTTGGGTGGTCATCGGGTCTGGAGAAGCAGGGCCCCTGGGCTGGCGGGAGGCGGGACTGAATGTCCAGGGAACAAGAGCTGCCCCGAGGCCCTGGAGCACCTCGGGCAGCTGTGGGAGCTTCTTGGGCTCATGCCCTGCAGAGACCCCAGGACGGCCACTGCAGGCCCAAACCCGTGCCCTGGAGAGACCCCAGGGCAGCCATTATGGTTGGGGCAAGCTGGAGGAGGTGCCATTAGCACCCAAAGGAGGCCCTGCAGCATCTAAGTGGGCAGGGGTGGCCCCAGGCCACGAGGAGGACACATTTTGGTGGCCTGGTGGCTGCTGGCCATGTGAGCCAGAGAGGGGCAGAGTCGGGGAAGGCGCCTGATTTATGGGCCCCCCTAGAGGAGCCCCGGAGCCAGGTGGGGAGCGGCTGCAGGGGCAGCCCTACTCTCTCCTCACTCAGGCAGATGAGCCATGGGCCCTGATGGCCACCCACCCCCGGCCAGGGGCCTTGCCGCAGCAGAGGGCTTGGGACTCTGAAGCCTGCAGAGATGACCACAGCCAACCCTGGCCTGTCCAGGCCCCACACCTTCCCCCAGTGCCTGGGGAGGCCACAGCACTCACAGCAGCAGTTGCAGCAGGATCAGGCGAGCTCTGGCCCACTCCCCAACCGTGCCCACACAGGGAGCAGCGGCAGAGACCACAGTGAAAGGCTGGTGCCCATGTGCAGTGTTCTGAGAGCTGAGGTCCCAGCCAGGCCCTCCAGGGTCAGCGCTGCCACCTCCCCTGGCCGTGAGCACGCCTCGCAGCTCCAGGCTCTGCCTTTGCTGCCGCCAGCCCAGGAGCCAAGAGGGTGGCTGTGTCTGGTCATGGGTCCCCAGGGAGCACCGAGCCCTGAGGGGCGCTGGGCTGCCCAGAGGGGAGCCTCCTTCCCTCCCAGACCCAGCTCTGTGCCACACAAGGGGAATCCAGGTGTGACCCTCAGCTGTGGAGGGCGTTGGCCCCACACCCCCCTGCCCACCCTGTGGTCTGGGAGGCAGACCCTTCCCCAGGCAGAGCTGGGCTGCAGGAGGAGCCACGGCAAGGGGCTCGCGCCTCACAGGGGCGGGGGCAGCCTGGCGCATAGGTGGCCACGAGCCAGACACAACCGCCAGGACCGGGCGCCTGTCACCTGGATGAGAGAGGCGGCCGCCGGGATCTGCCTGTTGAAGTGCTTCTGCCTCTGCTTCTGCTGGACCTTGAGGGCGAACCCGGAGCCAAGGATCCCCTGGGAGAGAGGAAACGAGGCCACGTCCACACGGGCTGCCGGCTGCAGCCATTGCAGGGTGGGGGGCAGACCCCCCTCCCCCACTCAGAAGCAAGGAGGCTGGTGCCAAGAGGGACTTGGGTCTCTGACCCACTCCTGAGGCTACTTTGAGGGACTGCAGGGGTTGGACCAGGAAGGGGCTGTCCCGAGACCAGGCTGGGGGCCCACTGCTCCCACCAGCCAGGGCGGCTGACAGGACACAGCCTCAGCACCCAGGGAGTGGCTAGGCCACACACACACACACTACACAGACGCACATATGACACACATGTGTTCACATGCAATATGCCAATAATCTATACATCCATGACACACATGTACCACATAGACACACACATGGCACATGCATGTGCACATGTAACATGCTGATACATACCTATCTACACATGCACAGCATCACACACGTGAACATGTGATGCACATGTAAGAAAAATTCAAAGCATTTGTAGAAAGTGGAATTAAAAGAGAAGTCCATTTTGGTGTCAAACATTCTGAAATCTGTGTGCGGTTTTGTGCAGTGTGTATGCATTTCCCATGAACTCTTTGTATGCATGGATTTCAAATCTGTTTACCCTGAGATAAATTTCACTCCATTATATGCAAAATTTTTTGTAAAGAATTATTCTGAAAGTCAGAGTTAGAGAGAGAGAGATCCTCCATCCAACAGTTCACTCTCCAGATGGCCACAATGGCCAATGCTGGTCCAGGCGGAAGCCAGGGGCTTCCTCTGGGTCTCCCATGTGAGTGCAGGGGCCCAAGGACTTGGGGGCATCTTCTACTGCTTTCCCAGGCTACAGCAGAGAGCTGGATCGGAAGTGGAACAGCCAGGACTCGAACTGGCGCCCATATGGGATTATGCCACAACACCAGCCCCCACCTGCAAACTTTGTAAACAAATGCACATATATGTTCAGAAACACATGTCATGCTACCCCAGGTGTGTGTCACACATGGTAATGGAACAATGCACATGTGGGTGCACCAGGCAATGCACACCAATAGACACAACAGGCGCTGGAATGGGAGTGCGCAGCTTCCGTGAACTTTTTGAAGACCCCTTATACACATGCACACATCATGCACATACACGCATTCACACGTGCTACACTACATACATGCATGCAAGCACACACACAGAGCAAACTAGAAACTGCTGCCCTCGTGGGCTATCTTCTGGAAAGGGCAGTGGACAAAGCCCTCCCAGGCCACTGCAGGGGACACGCATTCCACCTCTGTGGCTGCTTCTGGGGTCCCTACCCTGAGGCCAAACAAGTGGGCCTGCACCCCCAGTTTCTGTGAGCCTGCGAGCTGGCGACAGGCACAGCCCCCAGGGGCACCCACCGCAGGGAGTGCGAAGAAGGAGATGGCGAAGACGGAGAAGCAGGAGGCAATGGTCTTCCCAACCCACGTCTGGGGCACCTTGTCCCCGTAGCCGATGGTGGTGACGGTGACCTGCCAGGAAGAGGAGGGGCGTGGTCAGGGCAAGATCCCTCCCAGGAGGCCCCGCTCAGCCCAAGCCCGCCTCCCTCACAAGCAGACCCCCAACACCAGGAGGGCCACCAGCCCATATTGCCACTGCCACAGCAGGACAGCCGTGGTCCCAGGCGGTGGCCACCGTGGCCGACACACTGGCTCACTGCCAGAGGGCCCAGGGTGCACGGCCAGGCAGCCAGGCCTCCCACTCCCGAGGAGCCCGGATCCCAGGGCCACCGACGTCGCTGTGCGCCAGCCCCCTGGAGGCAGGAAGCTCCCCACAAGCCGTCCATGCACAGAGAGCAGGCTGGGGATGACGTGACACTTCCTCCGCCACCCAGGGCTCCAGATGTTTCGTTTCTGCTCAGCCTTCTTCTCGGCGGGGGAGCCGTCTGTCCGGACATGCACTGGGACAACGGAAGCACGGGCACCCCCTCACCAGCTCGCCTCCTGCTGGCGTCTGAAGTAGCTCCTGGGCCCCCCGCTGGGCCCAGGCACGACATCCTGCCCACCCGTGTGAGCCAGGAGGCCACCTCGGGGAGCTGCTGCAGCCAGCCCTGGGCAGAGTCCCGGGGGCCCTCAGGGTGCTGCCACAGCCTGCCTCTCTGGTCCTCACAGGCCTGCCCTGGGCACCCACTCCTCACGCCAGCCTGGTGGACAACAGCACACAGGCTCCCTCTCGTACCTGCCCGCGGCACCAGCGAGCGCGGCCCAGGAGGTCTGTTTCTCAGACTGAGGGGTCCCAGGCAGCTCCGTGCCACAGCCCCAGGGGAGGCCCCGAACCCTTGGGCCACGTTGGGCAGCAACACCCACGCTGACACGTGGTACATGAGACAGCTCGGAACAGTGGCGTGGCACAGGCCGGGCAAAGATCACTCCCAGGACGCGGCTAACACTTTCTCAAGACCCCAGGGCTCTGCAATCGGGGGTCTGGGCAATGCTGAGTCCTGGCTGCCGCCTGGGCCCCACCCTGCCCGGCGGTCCAGGTGTCCCTGCGGATGGTGCCATCCTGCAACCTGGCCACCCAGAACCTTTCCCAGCTATGTCGCTGTCCCCTCCACACACACATGGCAGAAGCCATCTACTGCCAGGCCCTCTGAGGGGGCTTCCCAGCTGTGTACGTGTGTGCACCTCACACAGACACAGGAACATCCCACACTGACACGCACGGGCAGAGCCACACCACAGCCACACACACTAAGACAAGGCAGTCTGTGCACACGTGGAAGGGGCCAACATCCACATCTGAGCCAGATCCCACCAAGGACACACATACCACACACATGCATACCTCGAGCCCACAAGGGGCCACAGACAAGGCTGATGGGCTGGTGCCCCACACGTGAGGGCCAGGCCTGTCGGAGAGGGGCCGTGGCACAGGGCAGACTGGGGCTATGGCCCAGACTGGGCGTGAGAGGCTGCCCCAACCTGTCCTGGGGAGGGATGACCACCGAGCAGAGGCATGAGGCGAGGCCCCGTGTGCTCACCGGTCCACCTCAGAACCCCGCTGGGCACACGGGCGGCCACCTCTGCCTCCCCAGGGTTGGCTCCCACTCAAGGCTGCTCCCCGCCACACGGAGGCCAAGAGGCAACCCTGGGGTGGGACCAGGCACGGGGCAGGGAAATCAGAGAGGGAGAGGCTCCCGGGGGGCCTGGTGACGGGAGCAGAATCCCAGGGGGCCCTCAGGGTGCGGACACGCTCTGCGGGGCGGGGGCGCAGGGAGAGGCCGGGCAGGTGGGGACCCCCACGTGCTGGAGCCTCATCTGGCCAGCGTTCATGGAGACGTGCGTTTTCCCATCAATGATACATCTTCCTTTCGGAAAACGTGGCAACTTCTACCAAAACCACTTTCTTTAGGTAACCTAGCAGGCCTGTCACTCTGAGACGGGAGCCTTTGAAAGCTCCCGTCTTATTCAACACCGAGGACCTGGTGGACAGGTCTACTGCACACACAGCATGTCAAGGGCGTGACCGGGCTCCTAGCACTTGAAAGCTCACAGCAGCCGCCTTACAAGGAGCAGGGGGTGGGGCCTGGGCCTGAGAGGCGGCAGGGGCGGGGGGAGGGGGACTTGGGGACCCCCACCCACTCCGCAGTCAGACAGCATGCAGTGGTGTCTCTGTCACAGGCAGTCACTCCATCCCTGTCCACCCCCTCCCACACCTGCAGCAGCCAGGGCTGAACCAGGCTGAAGCTGGAAACAACATCTGGGTCCCCCAGCACTTAACAGTAACATCAGGTGATTTACGATACTTAAACGTATTCAGTTGTGATTTGTTTTTAAATAATCCAAAACAATGCCCTTCCCTCCACCTAAGAAAACACCCCTGGGGAGGGAGTAGGAAGAGGCCGGCCTGGACCCTCCTGGAAGGTGGGTGGGTGGGACAGGCAGGTTGGGGGGGGGCCGAGAAGACCTCTCCCAAGTCTGCCTCCCCCACCAAACAAGAGTGGCTGGGAGGACTTGGGGGCTTCATTTTGGGGGTCCAGTTAGAGAAGCCAGGGCCTGGCACAGACCCTCCCCGTCCAGTGAGTGAGGGTCCTCTGCTGAGCCTCAGATGCTGCTCCCCCCGTGCAGACACAGGCAGCCCAGGAACCCGCCGCCTCTCGGCTGCCCCGGCTGGAACGGGATGCAGCCCCAGCCGCCGGACAGCGCTCAGGGATACAGGCCCACCAGGGCCCCAGCCAGGCAGCGGCACTGCCAGGAGCCACGGGGGCCAGCAGGGGCCTCCCTGCCTCTGCTCCAGCTGCCCCCACGCTCACTCCTTTCCAGGGACAGAGGCAAGGAACTTGCTCGTCACCAGCCTATCACCCTTCCTCAGCACCCGGCACTGCTGTGCCGCCCTCCCCCACTGGACACGGCTGGCTGCCCTCCCCCTCTGGACACGGCTGCCTTCTCCCACTGGACACGGCTGGCTGCCCTCCCCCACTGGACACGCTGTCCTCCCCCACTGGACACGGCTGGCTGCCCTCCCCCACTGGACACGCTGTCCTCCCCCACTGGACATGGCTGCCCTCCCCCACTGGACACGGCTGGCTGCCCTCCCCCACTGGACACGCTGCCCTCCCCCACTGGACACGCTGCCCTCCCCCACTGGACATGGCTGCCTTCCCCCACTGGACACACTTCCTTGAGGCTGAGCTCCAGAGGGGCTTGGGGCCAGCTCAGAACCACATCTCCAGCCGTGCCTGGTGACCCAGGCTGTCCCTCTCTGCAGACTGAGCCCAGAGACCCTTGGTTATCTGCCCCGGGCCACACAGCAGGCAAGCAGTGCACTTGGGATGCGTCTCCACTCTCCTGACCCACCCTGTTCCATGTTCCAGAGATGCCCACTCCATCTCTCCCGGGCCCGAGGGTCTCGAGTGCTCATCCACACACCCACAAGCGCAGCCGGGGGTCTGTGCAAGGTATCCCGGTGCTGGCCAGCAGGCAGCAAGTGCAGCGAGAGGAACCTGCCTGCAAGGGCCCCTGCCCCAGGGACAGCAGCAGGCTGGGGTCCTGCAGCTGCACACAGGCTGCCCGGCCTGTTCCCCGGCCTCATGGGGGCCCTGCATGGCGACAGGGCTGGCGTGGAGGCCTGGGGGCCCTGCTCTGCCTCTGCAGCTCTGCGGGCCCTGCAGGTGAGGAATGGAGAGCCGGCCAGATTCCACAGGACCTGGGGCCGGGACTCCAGCTCCTTTGCCCTGGGTTCTAAATTTAGAGGCCAGGGGTAAACAGCCCAGCGGCCTCCTGGCTGGAGACCCCCAGGCGCTGCACACAGGCGCCGTGCTCGCCTCCACTCCAACTGTAACACAAACAAACGCATTTTGTTCCCGGAGCTCCGGGAGAAAGCATCGCGTCCTCCCCCATCGCCCCCGGCAGCCAGGCCGGGCGCCGCCGGGGACCAGAGAGGTCACGTCTGCTCAGGGATGGGGCCGCCCCGCCTCTGAGCAGACACCCGTGCCTCCCAGCCAGCGAGGGGGCGGCTCCTGCTTCAGAGAGCTCCGAGGGGTACGACCGCCCTGACTGACTCGCTCTGGGCGGCCCAGAGCCGACAGCCAGCGCCCCGGGAAGGACAGACAAGGGACACAGACCCACACGGGGCGACACGGCCCCAGAGCCGACGGCCAGCGCCCCGGGAAGGACAGACGAGGGACACAGACCCACACAGGGCGACACGGCCCCAGAGCCGACGGCCAGCGCCCCGGGAAGGACAGATGAGGGACACAGACCCACACGGGGCGACACGGCCCCAAGCCCAGGGGCACAGGAGCCACCAGTGGCCAGGAGGGGACAGACCCTCCCCGTCGCCTCCCCTGCTGACCCCTGGATTCAGGCCGAGTGCCGATGAATTAAAGTTGTTTAAGGCACTGCGGGCGCAGCCCTTTGTCCGGACACAGGAAATGAGCCCGCCCAGCCGCCATCCCGCCCACTGTCCCTGGGGCTGGTCACCTGGTCCATTCATCCATGCCACAGACACGTGCTGTGCCCGGACGCCTGCGGCTGCCCTCCAGAACCCCAGCAGCCAGGCAGGCTGGGGAGGGTCCCCACCCGCTCCATGCTTCTGCAGGCCCAGGCTCCGGCTGTGGGCGCCCACAGGTCTCCCAGGAGAAGCCTGTTCGGCCCCAGCACCACACACACCCCCTCCCCCACCCCTGGGTTCTCAGGGCTGTGGGGGAGGGGCCCGGCCTCCAGGCACCGGGTAGACAGCAGAGCGGTGTGGTCTACGGGACGCTGGGGGCGCTCCCGGGGAGTCCCCGCCATCCGCTGGACCCCTACTCCGTCTGTGTGCTCCCGCAGGGGTCAGGCAGGGGCCCACACTCCACGCAGGGGGATGGAGGAGGCCAGGACAAAGGAGCCGGAAGGCGCTGCTGAGGCGCAGGCAGAAGCAGGCAAACCGGCTCCAAGCCCCCGTCTGCGCCGCCCCATCTTGCGTTTCTCTGGTTCCATTTATCCGAGAAGCACCAGGAACACAGCCCCTAACTCGCGCCCGAGACAGCTGTGGGGGCGCCTCCCCATGAATGGGAGCCGTTTGCCCTCGAGCCCCCCGGCAGAGGGGGCCCCAGGACAGCCAGGGCCACAGAGCCTGGCGGGAACAATGGCCGGCCAGGGCGCTCAGTGACCAAGGCGCGGGCTGCAGCTGACGGCGCGGGCCAGGGCACTGGTGCCAAGCTGGGCACAAAGGGGCCGTGTTCCCGGCCGGCGGGCGGATGTTTGCACAGGTGTGGGAGTGGGAGCGCCGCGGGCCGGGGGCCGGGAGCAGCCTCTGCTGCCCACAGCTCCAGCGGGCGGCCAGGGAGGCAGGCGGGGCCGTGCCAGGGCTGGGCCCCGCTTATCAGCCGCACTGTGGGCAGCTGCCCCCACGCTTCCTGCTGCTTCCAGGGCCCCCACTGCCCACCTTGCCCCAGGGTGGTCTTCTGGGTTGGGGCAACCTGGCCCCCACCCTGTGCAGGCCCTGCCATGTCCCTGCGACCATCCCCTGCCCAAACTGGCTCAGGCCCACTGCCCAGGGGCCTTCAGGGACTTGGGCGTCCACGGGGCGGGCAGAGGCTGAAAGCAGGACTTGCCCTAACCCGGGAGCTGTGTCAGCATGTCTTTGTCCTCCCAGAGCACGCTGGAAGCTTCCAGAAAACACGTTGACTTGGCCAACATCAAAAGCCCCCAGCGCATGCCTGGCTTTGTGGGGGGGGGGGGGCACAGGAGTAATGAGAGCACAGGCCAGCTCCCCGCCCTAGGTCCCTGAGAGCGAGCAGGGCCTGATGCCACCACACACCCCACAGTTCCCTCAAGGCTGGGTCCCCTGCCTGGCCTCCCACTCCCCCCTCACAGGGCCCAAGTGGGCCTGGAGACCAGCCTAGGGGAGGGGGAGAGAAGTATCCACGTCCTACCCCGGGTCTCCAGAGGTGGTGGCCCCTCAGCGGGGTGGTCTCAGGGGCTGGTTCCCCGAGTGCCTACAAAACCCTCAGCAGGGGGACCAGTGCAGCACAGCCCCTCCCCCTAAAGATGGCCGCCTAGCTCCTCCGTCCACACAGGACACTCGGGGCTCACGCGGGTCTGCGCCACACCTGAGGCTGGGTGACCCTGGCTTGGAGGCTGCCTGCAGGGCTCCCAGCTGCCCCAGGCAGCTGCAGCTCCGGAGCTCATAGGGCAGGACCCTGACTTCCCCGGCCAGGGCCTTGGAGACCCTTCCCCGCCCTTTCTCCCACCCTGTTTCCTGCCTGGCACCCTGGACCCAGATGCTGAGACACACAGGGCACGCAGCAGGCCCAGGCTCCACCATGCACACGCCAAGGCCCGGCTGGACTTCCTGGATGAAACACAAGCTGTCGGCAACCAGCCCAGAGCAGCCTGGGTGGCACGTGGGGCCTCGCACCCTTGGCTCCCAGGATGGATGTGAGGACAAAGAAACCTGAGGTCCAGGAGAGGAGACCGGTCAGCGAGGCCCCAAGCCTCAGGAAAGCAAAGCCCCAGCGCCGCGCCGACTCACCACCCCCCACCACAGTGCGTCCGCGTAGCTGCCGAACTCCACGCGGCCCGACTCGTTCACCGCGTCCTTCTCAGCCAGGTACACGAAGTAGGAGGAGAAGATGAGGCCGAGGAAGCCGATGTACAGGGTGGTGATCAGCTCCTGGGCGGGTAGAAACAGCACCTGAGCCCGGGCCCACAGGCTCCCCCGCAGAAATGGCTCCAGTGCCCCTCTGTGGTGCACACCCAGGTCAGACATCAGAATAAGCTGCTGGGCCCCTGGCCACCCTCCACCACCCTCCAGCCGTGTGCCTGGCCCTCTCCTCTGCTGTGAGAGAGCCGGAAGCTGACCAGTACCCAGCAGCCCCTGCGTGAGAGGAAGGCTGGACCTCGCCCCTGCTGTCCAGGACAGGTACAGCCTGAGCCTGCGGCGGCTGGACTAGGGGACGGGGGTGCAGACCCCACCTGCACGGCTTGCTCTGATGGGTCTGGTTTTTCACCGGCCCAATCATCTCTCATCCTCAGTTCAAAGGAAGGTGGGCCTGAGCCAGGCCTCGGCCGGGCCGGATCCCTGGTGCAGGGCCGCCACAGCGGTGTGGGCTGTGCTGCCGCACGGCCACCCACCTGGCGGTGGATGAAGACCACGGAGCCCAGGAGCCTCCAGGTGCCTCCCTGGCGGTCCACGTGCAGCATCCGCAGGATCTGGAGGAAACGGATGCCCCTGGGGAGGACACGCAGCAGGGCTGGGAAGGCCACGTCTGTCGGGAGGCCCCTTCCCACCAGCCCCCCACTCTGTGCACGGCATCTCCACGGAGACCCCTGCCCCCTGTGCCTGCCCCTCCCGGCCTCAGCCCCCCGTGCTGCCCGAGGCCCTCTCCGGCCTGGCTCTGATCCTCAGGTCCAGGCTGGAGGGCAGCTGTTCAAGCACACTCCTCTGGCCCCAAACTGCTCTCTGGGGGAGACCCAGGGCCACCCCAATTTACAGATGAGCAGGCTGTGTGCCAGTCAGCGAGTCCTAGGTCTCGTGGGCCCCGAGCCCCGGCCACCCCACCTGCCTGCATCACTGTGAACCCTGCCCCCAGCCTGCCGCTCAGCACTCTGGGACAGCGGGCACCCAGCCAAAGGAGCACATTGGAGAGGTGCGTGGAGGGCGAGGCCACCCCAACTTGGAGGGAGGAAGGGAGTAGGCAGCCCCTCCCCCCACAGCCGCAGGCCGTCAGCACCCAGGGCTCAGGCTTACCTGATGGCCGACGTGGCAAACACCTGCCCTTTGGAGCCCACGCACAGCACCACCATGGAGGCCACGACCACGATGAGGTCTTGGGGGAAGAGGGCGGCAGTCAGGACCACTGGCCAGCTGGGCCCAGGGGAAGGGGCTTGCCGGTCAGGAGCGGCAGGCCTAGCCCCCTGCTGCAGCTGTGTGTGAAATCCCTGGCTTCCATGAGGACCAGTTGTGAGGCCCACGAAGGGCCAGGGAACAAAGCTTCAGGCTCTGACCCTGATGACTGGGCTACCCAGGGCCACCAGCGTGCCATCCAGCTGAACCAGGCCAGAAAGGGGAGCCAGCCCCCCCAGACCTGTGGCCTTCCCGCCCCTGACAGGTAGAGAATGGGGTATCCCAGTGCTCGGGGCTCTCTGGCGGGGCCGGGCTGGGATACGGACGCTCCCCCTGGCCTGGAAACCCTGTGGGCAGGTGGGACTCACCGATGATGGAGATGGGCTTGCGGGCGAAGCGCAGCCGCCCCCAGAGGCCGACATACTTGCTGCGGCAGCCGGCAGACCAGAGCCGGACCACGTACTCGGTCCCGAAGAACACCACCAGGACGATCTCCTGCGGGACAGAGGGTGAGAGGGCGGGGCTGAGGCGGGGCTTGGATGGGGCCACGGCCCAGACACCCGATGGGGCTACGGCCCAGACACCCGATGGGGCTGCAGCTCTTCCGGCCAGGGGGCCAGGGGGCCAGAGGGCCAAGGGGCCAAGGGGCCAAGGGGCCAGGGGGCCAAGGGGCCAGGGGGCCAGGGGGCCAGGGGGCCAGGAGGCCAAGGGGCCAAGGGGCCAAGGGGCCAAGGGGCCAGGGGGCCAGGGGGCCAGGGGGCCAGGGGGCCAGGGGCAGCTCCGGTCCTCATTCCCCGGCCAGAGCCGACATAAGTGCTGCACCCCAGGGCTCAGGCGCCAAGCTGGGGTTGCAGGGCTGGCTCTGGTGGCACCACGCCCTGCCCAGCTCACACAGCCACTACAACCCCAGGAGCACGGGGCAGGCCCAACAGCAGCTAGGGAGTCACCCCACTGGGGCGCCCACTGTGCCCCCAGAAGGACTGATGGAGAGACAGCTGGACAGAGGACGGATGCAGGTGGCTAAGTGGACAGACGAGCAAGTGGCCAGGTGGGCACCTGGGTAGCTGGCTGACAGGGTGGATGCATGTGCGGGTGGCCAACCTGGTAGACAGGTGGGTGAGTGGACGCATGTGCGAGCAGGGGCATGGGTGGACAGTGGATGGTGCCATGAACAAGCTCGAAGGAGAGGCTGGGCCATGAGCTCACGATACCATCGGCCTCTCTGTGCCCTAGACTGGGCCTTGGGACTGGACCACTAGTCCTCCACGCACCACAGCCCTGAAGCGCCATGCCCTCCCCGCCAGCAGGCTGTGGTGACTGAATGCCTGGGCTCCGAGGGGGCCTGCGTGCCTGCTTTGCAGTAAGACCCAGGACTGCTGCCTGGGCAGCACCTGAGGGCAGTGTGCTGGCGGGGCCCTGCAGTCCACCACGGGCCACACTCAGGGACCCATGTGCACTTCCTGGGAAGGGCGCACACTAGCTCCTGGCAGCCGGGCCTGGCACGTCGCGGGGGGGGGCAGCCCTGCATCCCGGGGCTCCTGCACATGGGCTCCCCGACCCTGGCGGACATGGCCCAAGGCGGGCGGGAAGCGGAGCCCCGGCGTGCACTGCGGATCTGAGGTCTCAGCTCAGCAGCGGTAAGCCTGCCTGGCAGTGGTTCTGTCTCAGCAGCCCACGGAAATGACTTAAGACACCCTCATCTCCCTCAAAAGCAGGGGACCCAGCTCCCAGCCAGCCCAGGCCGGCAGGAGGCCCCCGGGGCAGGTGTGTGGGGTCTGGGGGCCAAGGCAGGTACCCACGTGCGCGTGGGCCTGTTTTCGGCTGGCTCTGCCCATCACCCTAGGAGTGGTGACGATGCCTGGCCCTACCCCATCCCATCCCCAACCAGGAGTCCACCATGACCACTGGGTTCCCACATGTCACTCCTCAGAATGAAGCTGTATTCACGCAACCTTGCTGGTGTCGCGGGCAAGCCCAACAGAGGAGGGGGAAGTGTCTTCCTCTCACCGAAAGTTTTAGGCTCAGACACGGAGCCCACCCAGCACAGTCAGGAGCATGGGGGAGCTGGGGTCTACAGCTTCACTGCACTAGTGGTTGGTGGTCCCTTCCCTCATGCCCGACCCTGTACGCAGCCCCTGAGGAACAGCTTCTGGCCAGGGGCGCCTCCCAGGGCAGGGGCCCCACTGGTCTTACCCGCTCCCCGTGCTCAGTGCAGAGCTGATCGGATGCAAGCACACATGGTCTGGTCCATCTTGGCCCTCGAGAATCTGGCCACAAGGGCCACTGGCCACAGCATGGGGAGGCTTGTCTGGGCCACAGACACGGTGAGCTCCAGCCCCAAGCACTGAGGCGGGGAGCCCGTGGCTTCACAGAGGCCAGCCCGCCCGGCCACAGGAGGTCCCGGCACCCTGTGGGCCCCACGGGGTCCCAGCTCTGCCCTCCACGCATCTCCCTGCTGCACACCCAGCGGCTTCTCCTCTGGACACTTCCATGGCGCCTTGTGTCTTCTATGGCCACATCCTGAGCTGGATGCATCCTGAGACACTGAAGACCACCAGCGCTAGGCTGGATTTTGACAGCCGTGCGTCCGCCCCGCTCCCCAGCAGTGGCTGCAGCACTTGCGAACACCACAGGGCTGGTGGCCTGGACAGTGGGATCCTCTGGAGGGGTAAGGTGGTGGAATGACCTCGGAGCCTGTTGGACTTGGTAACAGGGTGCCCAGGCTGTGACACGGGCACTGAGTGTTTGTTCAAAGGAAATTCTTTACCGCATGATCCAGCCCACAGACTCCCAGGCCCAAGGCCATAGTCGGAACCCCAGGGGGATCGTGCTGAGGTGGGGCCACGGACCCCCACGCCACGCCGAGGCCCACCCCCACGCTCTCTGACCCAGAGGACAGACGGCACCTCCAAGGCACAGCAGGCTCAGGGACAGCAGGGCCATCTCCCCTGCCCTGGCTGGAGCAGCCACCCGAGATGGGCCCCTGAGCCCAGCTCTGTCTGCCCTGGCTTCAGGCTCATGGGTCTGGACACCTGACCCTAAGCACAGCCCCTGGAGTGAAGAAAATGGCTCAAGGTCCTCCCCACAGCTCGTGACATCCGTCCCCTCCTCCAGCAACCACCTAGCTCCCCCACAATCCCACCCCCACCCGCCTGCCCCTTGCCCTCCAGGCACCCCCACCCCTCTGGGAGCCCTGCACGCCAGGACGCTCCCTGGCTGCACTCCCTGCACGGCCCCAGCGGCCTCAGTGGGGCCCCCATGCTGCCTGCGGGACCTGGGTCAAGGGTACAACAGCCAGAGACGTTGACGGAGGGCGGTCCTGAGCTCCGCCCACAGATCCGGGAGAAGCCGTCCTCGGGCCCCATGGAGACCCCATCAGAGCCAAGGGCCAGGGAGGCCCCGCCCACCCTGCCGCTGTCCTACAGACCAGCAAGGCCGCCTCCTGCTGATGGCTGCTCTATGTCCAGACTGGGCACAGGTCCACGCGGCCCCTCACCAGCCCCTCCAAGCAGGGTGGTCACCCCTGTTGCTGCTCCGGGAGAGGCCGGACCACCTTAGGGAGGGGAGGGGCCTTCCTGGCAAGGCAGAGCACAGACGCCTCCAGGCCCAAAAGTGGGTGTTGGTACGAGAGGCCAGCCTGCCTGGGAAGGCTGACAGCTGTCACACACGGCCATGACCCGGGGCGACAATGGGGGCTCTGGATGAAGGCCCTGACCCTGGGAGAGGGGAAGACCCTGAGAGATGACGAGCTGACAGCTCGGTTGGGGACACAGAGATGGGAAGACAAGCCCGGGCCGTGTGCAGTCCTGAACAGCACCGGCCACCCAAGGTCACCTCGGGGGCCACCAGGGGAGGTTCTGAGGCACGAGATAGCCATGGAGGCACAGGCACAGGAGCCCCCCAGCCCAGACCCCGGGAGGAGGCCGCCCAGGGCCGGGCAGGCAGCTCAGCGCCCTGGCCTGCCCCTCCTGAGGAGCCTGGGGGGAAGAGCAGGAAAGACGCATAGTGACCCAGCACCACGTGGCCGTAGCCACCACCGTGCCACATGGCAAGTTTTCCTGCCAAGGAGTGAGGGCCACAGGCTCCACTCTGCCTGGGGGTGGGTCGAGACCCGGGGTCGGCTCCCCGTGGCGTCACACATGGGACTCGAGGTTCCACCCAGAGGTCGTGGGGAGACGTTTCTCCAAGACACACACACAGTGAATCCCACGTAGAGGGAGATGGACAAAACCCGCAAGGCGCCTCCCTCTCAGGCCCACAAGGGCAGCAGGTGCGGGGAGGACCTGGGGCCGCCAGGCCCACATGAAGGCAACACCACCAGCTCCTCAAACCACAAACGTGGAATCCCCCCAAACTCACTTCTCCTGGGAGCCAAAACACTCAGAAGATAAACCCTCTCATGAAAAAAGACCCCAGAGGAACACGCCGACACTGGCTGGCACCACAATCCCGGTGCCCAAGATAACGGGCAGGGTGCGGACAGAGCCCACCCAGCAGCGCTCAGAGCTGCTCTCACAAAGCAGCAAATCCCCACGCAGGTGACGGGGAGAGGATGAAACGCGCCAGTCACAGGGGGCCCTGCAGGAGCCAGGCCGCAGCACAGGGAGCAGAGAGGGGCTGCAGGGCCTGGGGGCTCTGGTCTGCACGGACACTTGGCTTGGACGGTACTCGCGTGTATCTTACCACCGCCAGGTAAGAAGTAGGGCAGCGGGGAGGGGTGAGCGCTGTGGCCTGGGCCTCCTCTTAGGGTGACCCCAAGTCCTGGACCCAGGCAGAGGGGTGGCCCCGTGAGTTTATCGCACCCACTGGAGGTTCACTGGGAAATCGCCGAAACCAGTGACTTCTGTGCTCCTGGTTCTTTGCCACAACACAGCCAGTGTCCCAGGTTCCCTCTGGGCCAGCTCCCCCGGCCCCCGGGCCACCAGGGCCTCGGGGCTTGGTCATGGGTCAGCTGCGGCTCTGCAGGCCTGAGTGCCGACCTCGGGCCGTGTCCTCCCAGCACAGGCCCGGGCACCTCGCCCAGTCCTCTCAGGAGACACGGGGGACACCGGGTAACACAGGGGTCCAGCTAAGGCGGGAGGAATCAGGCTCCAGACGCTGATAAAACACAGGGGATCCCTGTCCCCGGGGGGCCTCACTGTGGACGCTGGAATCTCGTCACCGGGCAGGCACTCTCAGGAAGTCCGCAGGCAATGCCCCAGGCACAGACACAGTCCTGGAGCCAGGGTCCAGGACCACGGCCCGCATTTGGAGTGGCCGCAGCACAACAGGCCCCCCGCCCGAACCCGTGCCTGAGACAAAGGCTTTGCACGGCGCACGCTTATCTGGGCGGCTTCTACTCTGGGTGGACACGAGGTGAAAGGTTGGTGCTGGCCCAAGCCTGTCGCAACCTGGCAAGACCATCGCTCACCGGAAAGCATGAAGGTCACACTGGCCAGCTCGGCCACGGCCACGTGTTTCCCAGCAGGCGAATCTGTGCCATGGGGGAGACTGAG